ATGGGGCTGTCCCGCAGCAGCTGCTGCTCTTAGTGGGGGTGGCTGTCTGTCTGTCCAAATAGCGGTTTCTAATTAGAATTTATAAGTTACTTGGCAGTCGCGGCTTAAAGTGTACACTTAAAATTTAAAGCCAGCAGCGAGCGTCATATTTGCAAGTGCTGCTGCTGCACCGACTGGTAGCAATAATTGTTATTTCAAAGGCTGCCGCAGCTTTATTATGGCTGCAGTTCGGTGTGCGGGGGTGCAGACGTGTGTCGTCAGCTTTCCGCTCTTGTTATTTTTACCTACATACGCAATTTTTTGCACCATGCGCCAGCATTTTCAAGGATGCCACCACCATCATCATCATCAGCAGCATCATTATTATCATCGTTGCCATCATCAACAACAGCACCAACAGCTGTGCTGCACACAGTCGACATCAATGGACCGATCCATAGCCCAGCAATGCCGCACAAGCGGAAATGTCGAGTCGTATCTGTGTCGCTGTGGGCTCAACATACACAACAAGAGTGCACCATAAAGTGAAAGCGGGGGTGTGTGCTGCAGAGACAGACAGAACAAACGACCACAATTGCAACGGGTTGGCTGTTGCGGCGGGTGGTGGCCGGGCGTGCACTCCGGACGAAAAGCCTTTAATCGACAGCAACATATTCGATTTTAATATTCATATGCCGCCATAAATTCACAACAACAAAGGCGATGCATGGACCGTGCAATATATGAGGGCGTTGATATGGCCGCACATACACACAGACACACGTACGGCAAAATACGTGCCTGCCATGACTCATGTTTTGTGATATATTGGGGTCTTTCGGACAGCTGTTGCTGTTGCTGGCACTTCATGAAATGCACTTTTCAACGGCAGCGCCTGCTTTTCGGATGCAATTATGCGTTGCTTTTGTTGTCATAATTAGCAGCAGTGCATTTAACTTATTTATGTTTTGATACTCTGGTGCTAAACATTCTCCCCTTTCTCCCCCTCTCTTATTTAACTTAATTAAAAAGTCGAAAAGGGCTAAATATTTTTCACTGCAGACTTGCAAGTCATGATAAAAACAATCTAATTTAATATTTACCTTGGAAAATGTGCACATGTCAGCTTAATTATGGTATTTGCTAGCTTAGGGCGTGACCTTCTGGCCAGTCCTAGCTTAACAATCCTTTCCCATGATAACTATAGGCTATAGAGAAAGCCTTGCTGGCCGTCTCAAATGTCTAAAGCTTGTATCCTTGATTAATCATATAGCATTTGTTGGCCCAATTGAATGTGGCTCTGTCTGGTTAAATTGGCGGTTGCTGTGTAGCACTTTAAAGTGTCTCCAAGTAGAAAATGAAATGTGGAACACATGCACAAGAAATTAAACAAGCACCCTCTCTACCCGCTTTCCAATTGGATCAGCCATATCCGAATGGGACGCTCATTACTACAACAACACTGGCAAAGAGAGCGCACACACACAACCGGCTGTTGGTGCTGATGATGCTGACACCCTTTGCTTCCGTCTGCGTCGTGCACTTCAAAAACTTAACCGTTAGGCATATGCGTGATTATCTCTCTCCGCCAGTGTCCGACAGCAGCAGCAGTAGCAGCAGCAACCCCCTTGGCAGAACAAGAATCAGCAGCACTAGCAGCCCTCCAACAATTGCGCGCTGACCCAGTTACCCGGCAACAAAGGCGGAAGCAAAGGAAACATGTTGAAAGAGCCGAGACAGCAGCAAGGTAGGGGGAGAAAGAATAAAAAGGCACATGTCATCATAGAAATCAGTGAGGAGCGCTGGGCAGCAGCAGGAACGGCCGCTGGCAACAGAGGCAACGGCTTATGGAAAATAGAAAGGAAAAAGGCGCTGGGAAAATTCATTAAAACGGACCAGTGTGCTAGCTAGAAAGGGACAGGGGGCAAGGATTGGGCATGGCAACAATAGGCAATGGTCCAGTTGGGTCCTGGGGCTTATCAGCCGGGCTATATGTGCACATGCGTCGCAGAAGGACACAGTTCATAATCAAATATTTAGCATACTTTTTAGCAGAGCATGCTAGCATATTACAATAACATTTCCGGTCAGCTTGACAGACAACAACATCAGTTGCATGTCATGTTTAATGTGGGGCCATTGGCCCCACAAAAACCCCATGATGCGTGTAATGCAATGAGCCGCAGAGAGAACCCGGGCAAATCCCCAATGAATGCCAGTTGGCCGGCACTTGGGAGCGTTAATGTGCCATAACGAATGCATTAGAGGCGTTCCAACTTTGCCGAGTTATAAGCGTTGTTAGGGGAGACCATTTTAAAATTTAATTACTACAAGCGCTCGCTCGTTCGCCTGCATGTGTGCAGTTTATGTGCAGTGACAGAATGAGCGCTCGCTAAAAAGGGCTGCCCCAATAAAGCGGAAGCCCCCCAAAGAAGTATGCTACAAATTCAGAGTTTAGCCCTAAACCATATGGCACGCACCGAAGAAAACATATGTTGCTGCCTCCGTGGCCATATAACAATACAATACCCAAGACAGACGGGAGGGAATAGCAACAGCTTCTGTGATATCATTACTCAACCAACAAGCCACAAAAACACGTACACACACTCACACACATACTGGGAGAGGCATGCGAGTTTCCGTTTTGTTAGGGCTGTGTGTGCGTGTCATGTTCGTTTTTTGTCTGCGCTTTGCGCGCTTTTACTCCCTCTTCCGCTTTCTATCTTTCTCGCTCACTCACGCCCTCTGTGGTCTCTCTCGCCTTGCGATATTATCAAGTGAAGTGCTTTTGCGGTTTTTGCCGTTGCTTTGTCTATCACACACACACATACATACACCCACCTCTGCAATTCCGCCGCGAACTGCTGATATATTTCGCTGTGTGTGCGGACTTGTGTGTGCGTGCGTTTTGGCTTTGTTATTATTACTATTACCACATGTTGTTTTTGTATTTAAGCTAATTCTTTTATGTACATAAAACGTGCAGCCACATAAAAATAAAAACCAAACAGCAAACAACAAACGACAAATAACAAAAGCAAGGCAACAGCAAAGCAAAGCGCCGCCTCATGATAAGCCAAGTGGCGAATTCAAGCGTAGTCAGCATTGATAGCAACCAGCCAGTCAGCCAGCCAGCCAGCCAGCTTACCTTATTCACCCTCCCATCCTCTCGCCCGTAATCGTATAAAGGTGCCTACTTCACACAAAATTACCCTTTTCAATTTGCCGGCTGTGTGGTGCAGGAGATGACTGTGGCAAGCATCGCTCCCCCTTTGTCAGTGCTGCTCGTTTATTGACTTTTTGTCATTGCTGCTAATGCATAGCAGTAGCCAGCAATAGCAGCAAGAGCCACACACACACACATACAGCCGCACACCCAGCAGCGGCAGCTTTATTTTTATAGCTCGCATTACGTTTAATGTTTGGCTTAACTTAGTTACTCTCGATGCTCGACTCTGCCTCTGACTCTGACTCCGGCTCCGTCTACAACTCTGTCTTTGGCATTGTCTTTGCACTCGTGAGTGCGGTAATTAAGTGTCACATGTAATTACAATACACTTCTGCATGTGCTGCATGCAACATGGCTTTGTAATTAGAGTTTAGCGGCAATATTAGCTCTTAACATTCACTACATAACAAAAACTAAGCCAAAGCAATCACCACTCGCTTTCTGTAGCCGCATTCTGGTTAATTTCAATGAATATTCTGTGAGCTTTTTGCAATTATTTACCTCTCGCAAATCCAAACTAATAACTGGCGAAAACAACAAAAACTGAAGAAAAAACGCCCTGCTTGTTTGCCCAACCGCTGCAGTTGGAGAATTAACGCAAACAGCTTTACTTAAATAGAACTTGGTTCTATTTGCATAACTGTGGAGTGCGAATCATGATTAGCTGCACGCGGGCTGTTCGCTCTGTTATTAAACAGGAGATAATGAAAATTAAATCTTTAAGCAGCCTTCAAAGTATAAATATAAGAAAAGTCTGTTGCCTTTTTGCATTATTACGTGGCTTTGCAAAATCCAAAATTATGTGCTTTTAAGTTTATAACTAGGATTTTTATCTTAAAAGTCTTCTTTGATCCCGTGTAAAATATGTAGTGTCAAAATGTTCTAATAATAGATATTAATTTATTGAATTTTTATTTATAATTTATTTATTCATTCTTTTTTATTTCATCGCTTAAACAATTTGAAAATGCTTTGAGACTTTTACGAGTGTAGATAACACAAAATGAAATAAGTAATACTCAAAAACCCGGTAGCTAATAAAATAGATACACTTCAAATAATGCTATAAATGCTCGAAAATATAGGGAATATAACTTTTTTCTTATGTTATCTTGGTTCTTGACTTAAGAATTATTGCATTGTATAGAAATAAGTAGAACTAGTTTTCAATTTCACATTAAACTGCCCTCGTCTAATGCTGTATCATATAATCTATGCAATTTACCGCGCACCCATTTATGTTGACTTAGTTAGCTCCAGTTAACCCAAACAGAAATGCAAAGCTCGCTTAAGCACCACTTAAATTTCACTCAATGCAGCTACAAACAAAAAATATAAACAATAATAACAATAACAACAATAACAGCTCACCTGAGCTAAATCTATGTAATTTACTTAACTTGCGTAAATATTAAATATTTATATTGTTCTCTTCTCTTTTATTTTTCTCTTTTTATGTACCGTAATCGTATATACTTCATCTACTACACACACACAACTACAAACTTGCCTACCTGCCTACCATTCAATTAAACTCAACTCAACTCAACTCAACTCAACTGAATAAACTGAAACCATCTTCAACTTCTCTGCTGTGCTGTGCCTCTACATCATCAACTACAACTACAACTACAACCACAAAACTATTAACATAACAACTACAAAAAAAAAAAAAAAAAAAAAACAATCGTTGCCCGCACCAAAAACTGTCTCCAATGCGAATGCGAATGCGAATGCATCTGTATCTTTTTGCGCGTTACTGTGAACCTGTGCCTGTGGGGCCACGCAGCGCGGAAGCGACGAACTTTTGAGTCAAGCAGCAGTCATGGCGCCCGCTTCCGACAATAATAATCAGGATCTGGCTACAAAGAAGGCCAAACTGGATTCGAGCACCGTGCTGGCCGGCGGAATTGGTAAGTTTTATATATTTCTCTGCACGCTCTCTCCATCTCCGTCTCTCCTCCTATCCATCTGTCTCTCAGTCTCTTGTTCTCCCATCTCTTAATGTCTGCCTCGCAACTTATCTGTGCCTCTAGCTTAACTATACCCTTACCTATGCCTTTACCTGCCTCTCGGTCTATGTTGCGCCCACATAAACCCATTTTATGGCACGCCTGGGCCGCTCAACTTAAGTGCACTTTGCAGCCATAGTTTAGGCCAGGTTGGGCTGCCAATTAGCCTCCGACGTCGCCGCAGCCCGCGCTGCGTGCATTAGCCAATGCCAATGGCATAATCCTGCTTAAGCCAGTGCCGGCCACTTGGCTACTTGTGACAGACGCTCGAGTATGGGGCACGCATTCGCGACTGGTCTTATAGCCAATTAACCCGCTAATTAGCATGGAAACAAACATTTCGACGAGGCCTTTGTTGTTGGTCGCAAAATATGAAAAAGTTTAGTATAGCCGCCACGTTGGCGCTCTAAGCAGACCAGCTAGGCAATTCCAGCACATTAATTAGCCCTACACACACAAACACAAACACCACCACCACCACCACCACCACCACCACCACCAAATACAAAGCGTGTGCGTGTTAGCTGGCGCAAAGTAATAAAGCTAATCAAAAACCGCTCGCGCCAGAAACCAAAAACCAGAACCTGAACCACACATTAGGCAAATATTTGACAAGCGCCCGTCACAGTCGCTGTTAAAACCGAAAGTCGAAACCAAAAATCAGTCAGCCACAAAATGATTTTAAATATCAACAAATCCATGCGTACACATTTTTCATGCATACACAGACGCACACATACTTACACACATGCACAGCTATAAATGCCAATGTAATCACAAAGGTCGAACCACCAGGCATTCACAAATGGCTATCAAAATGAAAGCACCTTTTGGTTTCCATAGATTTCATTAGAATTGAACTGAAAATTAATACGCTTTTGGTTTTTCCAATTAGCAGTCCTTAAAAGCGCGTCAGTTAACTGCTGCGTCACAATGTGAATCAATGGCAGCATATGGTGGAATAGAAAAAAATGTAAGCTTTTTAACGGGTTGTGCTGCCCGCCCTCCAGTCAGACAGTAGATAGTCAAAGGACCTCAAACACACACACTCGCACACTCACACACAACACTCGTACGTAGTGAGTGGCAATCGAGAACGCAACGAAAATAAACGCAAAAGCAAAAGCATAATATTTATTTATTACTCTACAAAGGACTTTTCTATTAATTAAAAAGCAACAAGCTCTATCCCCACCACACACACTCACACACACACACACCCATACACACATTGATACATACGCACCGTTGGCCAGTTGGTAACTGGCAAAGAGTTGCAGGCGTTCATTGTTTGAATGGCCGGTCCAGACGCAGACGACCCAGCGGCATTTGAGTGCCAACTCATGCATACAAACGCAAGCAGGCGGGCAGGATGATCGGGCGGGTCGAATGGCTGGCAGCATGGCTGGTAGACACCGTGGACGACTGCTTGGGAATCCACCTCGACTTGACACCTGCCGCACGCCACATGCCACCTGCGGCCTTTTTAATTTTCCACGCAAAGTTCATGCGCAAACACAAAGCATGGCAAAATTTTTAAAGTCATGAGCAGCTTAAGGTTGAACAGACAGAGAGGAACAAAAGCAGCAGGCGAGAATAAGAAGTGCCACTGAAAATCCAATAAATTCATTGGTATTTGTTGTGCGTGGTCCGTGTATCTGTGTGTGTGTGTGTGTAAGTGTGTGGTAGCTTGCTTGGAAACCACTTAAAGCTGACGCACAAAGGCAAAAATACGTTGCTGATGCCGAAAATAATAACAAAAGAAATTGCTAAATAAATGTGTAAGGACACTTTTATTGCATTGCAGTACTGAGCCAACAAAAATAACAACAAAACCACAACAACAAATGCCAGACAAGTAAATAGGCAGCATCCACAAAAGCAACAAAAAGCATTGTGTGGCCAGCCTTAGACAAACACACGCACACTGATATACTCACACACACAAGGCAACTGTCAAAAATTGTTTTTTTTTTCTTCCTTTCTTTTTGGTGGTTTGGCACGCCCCAACGCTAGGTAGTGTATTCATTCAACGTCCATTGGCCAATGCCTGTTGTCAATTGTATTTGTATTCTATACTAAACCAATACACTGAGCAACGTTTCCGTTACACGAGCTTAGCCATCGAACATGCAACAAATTTTGCACGTAAATGTAATAAAAACACTTTTGGCCCAATGCCCCAACACGCCCAACCACTTCGAGTGTGTCTGTGTGTGTGTGTGTGTGTGTGTGTGTGCGTGAAGCCCACTTCAAGTAAGTGGCCACGCTCCGTTCGGCTCATCTTACAATGCAAAGCGCACACAGCACTCTATATACATGTATACATATATATATTATATATTTGATATATTTACTTTTTTCTTATGCCTCAAGTTCCGTTTGTACATGTAATAAATACTCGCATTTGCTTAGTAGCGTTTGATTTATTTTATTTTGATTATTATGCATATTTTATGCAAGCCAAATTAGACCCCGGGGAGTAAAGCTTGAGACCCGATGCCGGCTAATTTGAACCACGCTAAAAACGCAACCCGACCTAAACAGAAACCCAAAACGAACTAAACCAAGCCGACGCGAACTAAGCCGTGGCAATGTCGCGTGTCTGCCCTGGGACAGCAGCATGTGTAGCTATTGATGTTGTTTTTGTTGTTGTGGTTGTTGCCGCGTGTTTGTTGTTTATTGTTACAGCATTTCACACACACATATGACACACAAATACACATACGAACGAGTATATATATGCATGTTACCAAGCCATGTTTGTCCAGCACCGCCAATATTTGTTTTTTTATTGACCGATTTGGGGGCGACTATTGGTCAACAGGCATTAGAGTTCAAGGTGTTAAAACGCAACATTCAAAATAAATGTACAGAAAATGAAACCAATCGGCTATTGACATGCACAGGTATGAGGTGCAGGTAGATGACCACATACATAGACTTAGACTTTATAGGACTTTAAATAAAATGTAGATTATCACAATTTTAAAAAACTATATTTAACATTTAAATATAAATAAAAGAAAAGTATATATAAATATTTTATAAATATCTATAATCACAGATAAGCAAACATTTTTTTTTCAAAAAATGTATCCCAACTTGTTCACTGGCCAAGTAAAATCCTTAATGTTAAGCTGACAACATTTTATAAACTCAATTCAATCAGCCAGACAAGCACACGCATCGGAGCCAAGTCAAGTACTCGAACATTTTTATAGTCATAACCAAAAGGGCAAAGCTTGAAATGTTTTTGCAGTGCAAACTGCGTGCTGTGCATGCAGAGTCCAATGCGTCCTCATTGTCCTGCATGTGTGTTTGGTGTGTCCGTGTGTGTGTGTGTGTGTGTGTGTGAGAGTCTCCTGTCTGACGGCGCGTGCCGCCTTGTGTCTCGGATATCGCAGCACTCTCGCACGTCTGTTGCGTGTAAATATTTTCACAGTCAATAAAATAATATTGTCATATTTATTTGTAAGCGGCGCCGTCAACGTCTGTGTAAATATTGAGAGAGCACTGGAAACCAGAATAAAAATCAGAATTTGCACTTGGTCAGCGGCAACAACAACAGCTGAAAGGCAAACACACAGTCCGTTGATGTCAATTGGTTATGGGCTGTGGTCCAGTGCGATCATTTATGACGGGCACTGTGCGTGCCCGGCTAGTTGAACGTGCATTTATTGTCATTATTTATATGGGTTGACTTTTGACTTGCGGCTGCCACAAGCCGCATGCCACATGTATATTCACATATATGTTACTTAATTAAACATACGACCCGCTGCCTGCTTAGCCCTATAATTCATCATAGCATACTTAACAGCGCAGCAGCTGCTACTGCAACTGCAACGACTTTAAACCGTAGTTCATGATTACAAACTGCAAATGAAGTGGAAAAAGCATTGCCGAGCACTTGCCGCTGCTCCTCGACTCTATGCACTTGTAATTTATGCAATTGATATACTTCATAGAACTACATCCCATGTAGTTGGACTCCCACCCGTTTGCGCCACTTGACTGCGCACAGAACATAGAATCTGCGTCTGCTTTTACCAGACTGCATTCTACTTCTGCAACGCAGTCTGGCGGCACTAAAAAAGAAAATGAAAACTATTCCCGTAATTGAAATGCAATTAAAATTTATAAACGTCCTCAGCCTTTGCGTGCGTTGACTTCTCGCATACAGTGTCTCTCTTTCCCCACCCGCTCCTTTAGCCTTGTGTCTATGTGCTAACAAATTTTTAATGAATTACATTACTTGCGGGTGTTAGGCTCGTGCCTTTACTGTAGCAGAGGCAGCAGCAGTATAAAAAATCGTTATTTTCAATTATGGCTGGCCTGAAAACAGAAATGTACTTGGCTAAATTAAGAAGGCGGGAACTCAAACATCGCTGCTGGCGTTGGCTTTCAGTTGCTGGAAAAACTTGTGCTATGATTGATTATGCGCAGACAGATGTTTAAATTAAAGACAAGGCGCTGGCAAAGTAAATATCATTAAGTCATTACGCATGCACGCACAAGACACACACACAGCAAGTTGTTGGCCAACAATTTAAAATTTATGTTGTGTGAGCTTGTAAAAACCTAATTTACTGTCGCATAATTAAAGCCAAAGCGTGTTTGCATGTGTGAATATTCAAATATTGGTAATAATCACACAGACATACAAACATTGGCCTCACGCTTACATTAAATCATTAAATGCCACGACGTAAGCACAAATTTAATTGTTATTAACAATCAGCATATTTTTCAAGTCCTCCCCCCACTTTTACCTGGGTGTAGATAGAGTGGCCAGGTACTTTTGGGTTGTACGGTGAGCTATGGTTGTGGAGCTGACCATTTATCGTGTTTTTTCGTGGCTTTGTTTCAACTGTCGACGCTCGACGCGCGTTTCCATTCATTTTCATTTACATTTTTCGTTTGGGGTTTTTGTTTGCTTTATGAATTTAAATTGTCATTAATTAACTTTGTGCATGTTGGGACCGTTAAAGCAAAGAAAAAAGACCGTATGCACTGCTCTCAAATTATTACACATACGCCGCATTGTTCGATCGCAAAAGCAACAACTACAAACAGCATATGGACATGGAACATGAAACAGCTGACCATCCATTATTTCCATGCCCACACCGGGGCCAACTCAATTACAGTTTGTAAACTTTTCAATTAGCCATAAATAGTTTATATGTACATATATTTTTTCATGCAATTCATCGATGGCCGAGGCGTGGCCCGGCATGACTCTGCATGTGTGTATGGGCTTAATTGAAAGGTGCCCTGTTGCCGCCCCATAAGGATATTGTGCGTGTCATTAATACAGTTGAGCTTTAGTCGCGCCTTCCATTGCAGCTCAGTTTAATGCGATGCAACAGTGCGTATGATTGTTATTTATACATCCATGCGCCAACACGCAACAAGCATCATTATCGAATGCAAATTTTATTACACGCACACTCTTTATTTTTCGCTGTGCTTGGCACTTAACGTGTGTATGGGTGCGTGATTATTTTAACAGCACGCCCCTCAGGCTAAACGGGTTTTGTCTTAAAAGTGAATAATTTATTTAGCCATCTTCTAAAGATATTGCTAGGCTTCTTATACGCATCAAATAACAGCGTACCAGATCCGTAAAAAGAACTATAAGATTATAACCCATTTAAACATACATACAAACAAGTTATACGTATATTATTGGCAAGCGATAAACTCCTTAAAGTACTCAAAAAATGCAACAGAGACTCACTCACTTCAACAAAATTGAGCCGCAGGACATGAGGCACCAGTCGCAGTGAGCCTGACTGAAAATACCGAACATTTTTTTCAATTCAGTTGCTCGTTTTCGGCTGCAGCTGTCTGCTTCAGGGCCTTGTTGGCTGTGTTTCCGGCCGTCGTCAACTCGTCGCCATCTTCCTTTTCAATTATGCCCTCCGCTGCCTTTATGTTCAGGTCAGGTGATTGGCTGGGAGGAGATGGATGAGATGGGAGGGATGCCCGGCGGCAACGCTCGCCGTTGAGTGAATGTCGATGGTAGTCGATTTGCTCATTGCACTGACGTAGTTTCTCGCTTTCACACCATCAGGCAGCGTTTGTTGCGATTTGTTACAAATTCTCTCCCCTCGTTGCGGAGCAATGCGACAGCAACAGCAACAAGAACAACAACAGAAACAACAGCAACAACGTCGCAGTTTCAACTGCTAGTAAAAAACAAACCCAAATTGAGTTGTTGATGGCGAACGTCAAAAAATCCACAAATTTTCGTTTCGCGCGTTTTCAGTAGATTTCATTTTTTCAGTTTTTCTGCTTTTTTTTTCAATTTTTTCGATTTTATTTTGCTGCTCGTTGACAACGTCGTCATGCATGATAGATAGTTTTACATATTTTCTGTAGCGACGTTTTTTCCGGCAGCTGCCCAGCGGCACTTGATTTGTTGTTTGTCTCGTGCAGCACGCTTCCGTTCTATACGCTTTTATTTAGTTTTGCTAATGCTCTCACTCAACTCAGATAAAGTTTGTATAAGAGCACATATGGTATATTATAAGCAACTGCAGAGATTGCGTGTATCAATCTCTCGAAAAATATAAAGTTGCCTTTTAATACAAACATTCCGTTAAGAAAATGTAAATAATTTTAAAAATTAAGAATATATTTTTTTTGAGTTTTGTCCACTTGGTGCAGGTATATTTAAGTCGAGTTAGTTGAAGTCCTTTATTTATGGGCAGCATCGCACGGCCGGCACTTGGCCATCGATTTTTAATAAATTTGTGAGCTGCCAAAAGGTTGAGAGTTGCTAAAATGCCATGCACTTTGGTTTGCTTCTGCCCTGCATAATTTCGTTTCAACTTCATTTCCGTTCCGAACTAATCAAAAAGTGTAATTTCCGATTAGTTGTATTCACCATCAAATGCTGCGCCACGCTGGCCAAACTGCAGTTGAGAGTCCGAGTCGAGCCGAGCCCTCTCTCATAGTTGGCATGACTTTTGCTTCAAGTTGGCATGAATGGCCAGCCAGTTGGCCAAACGATGGATGGATTGGGGTTCTGTGCCTATTTTTCATTTATTTCTCCACTTTTTTTTGTTGCGCATTGTTATAAATTGGCACATTGACCCATGCAGGTTGGCGGCGAGTTAAAGTTTGCGTCTAGTTGAACAGCAACAGGAAGTGGGGCGGCAGCGGAAACGGGGCGACAAGCATATCGAGACTGGGTCGGGTAATGACCCTTTTATGTTGTAAGCTATTATTAGTAAGGACCTAGTGAAAGCAGCTAACAGTTAGTTGGTAAGCGCTGCTGATAAATACGGCAAAGTGATAACTGTGGGACATTATGTATGAGGAATGGAAGGAAACTTTCGTAAGAGCTGTCTGAACATAGACAAAGTGATAGCTTATAGAAAGGTTTATAAATGTAAAAAGAAGGCAAGCGGCTCTAAGCCCTAATTTAATTTATGCGTTTTGATCTAGGCATAATTCAAGATAAGCTTTCTCGCACAGATGAAAGGATATACTGATAAATAAGGATACTAATCCGGCAATACTTATCTGGCAAGCTTATCAGTCGTCATGAGCGTTCAATGCAAATTCTGCGCTCCGATAAAGTTGGCTGAACAAAACTGAAATGTATATGCTGGACGGACCTCTCGTATATCTTTAGGCGTTTCCATCTAGTTGTGTTGCTTCTTTAAACACTCGTACGCAGCATTATCGTATTTCTTAAGCTAAGGAGTTTCAAAAGGGTTTACTTGTTTTTTTTTTTCATACAGTCTTGCTTGCAATTCGTTCTTCTCTCACTTCTTGGGCTCATCCATACAGTACATGAATGTTAAATCGCAATCTTTTAAATCCATTTCAAATTTTAATGCAGCAAAATTCAAATGCTGGCAGCCGGCTGGGCAAAGTGCAAATTTCTGTGGCAACTGCCATTTTTGCCATTGGATTGTCGCGAGCTATCTCTTGCACATATTCTGTTTGCTTGTTTAGCAAGTGCGGTAAATACTGCAAACACGCACAGAACGACAGCTATGAAAAAACACACAAATACAAAAACCAAACCAAAAACTGTGCACCAATGTGTTTGCAACATTTCATTTGCATATGAGGTGGCACGCTCACAAACATGTTCACACACACACACACACACATACACATACACATAAAAGAAAAACCCAGCACATTAACAGGTGTTGACTAAGCACCAGCTAGGCAAGCTGCAGTCGGCACCACCTCCACTGCCCAGCACTCGCGGTTTCAGTTGTTGCGGCCTGCAGCAAGAGCAGCAATACATATATACTTTTTTTTTGTATAGCATGTGGTATGCCAGCAAATTTGTTTGCTTTTGTTTATAAAAATTTAAGGCACTTTAGACAGATGTGCAATGGGGTCGCAGCGAAATCCCTAAAATGCTCTCTGCCGGCCAACAACAACAGCCTAAAATCCCATTTGTACACCCCTGTTGCAGTGCAGCTCAACGGTGGAGCCACTTTATTTATGCAAAAATAACAAACAAACACCAAGCTGGCAAACGAACAACTACAGCAAAGACAATCGTTGTCTATTGGTGTGTGTGTGTGTGTGTGTATTTGTATTTGTGTGTTGGGCTTGAACCCGGCTGGACCAGACCGGACATTGTCGCTGTGTGGATTATTCACAGTCATAGAGTGCAATGAATGAATTTATGCGCCAGGCTGTTGCAGTTTCCCTTGCACCTGCTAGTCCCTTGTCCCTTTAGTGTCCATGCAACGCCGTCCATGTATACAAATGCCGCAACATTCGCCATGTTATCGGGCCTTTTATTTGGCTTGCTCACAGTGAGAGAGAACAAAATGCATGAAAAAAAAACAACAATAAGAACGTGGAAATTAAGCGACGCACGGAAGCGGAAGTACAGAGAGCGAACGGTGCCGTTTGGCATGGCAGCTGTTAATATTTTAAGCGGCTTATTAATTAGTTGACCCACCCACTCAGCCACACATATATATAAATATATATATAAATATATATATATCTATCTCGGTCTCTCTATAAATTTTACTTACGCATTCTCAACCATTCTCTCTTTGCAGCCAAAGCCTCGAAAGTCATTCATTTGCGCAACATTCCAAACGAATCTGGTGAATCGGACGTAGTTGCATTAGGCATACCATTCGGACGTGTGACAAATGTCCTGGTGCTGAAAGGCAAGAATCAAGCATTTATTGAAATGGCCGACGAAATATCCGCCACATCAATGGTATCCTGTTATACAGTGAATCCGCCACAGATGCGCGGTCGCATGGTCTACGTGCAGTTCTCCAATCATCGCGAGCTCAAGACGGACCAGAGTCACAATGTAAGTGTATGCAAAACAATAACTAAAACAAAACTCTTTAAGCTAGAACTTATAAGCAACTAAATCAGTTGGCCTTAAGTGTTATTAATGTGGCAATTAAGTTTCGGTCAGAGGCAAACAACGATTTATATGCAAATGTTGTTGCTACTGTCTCGTTATTATGTGGGTCGCTCACTGATTAATTACAATCTCTGAGGCAACTTAATTCCCCCAAGACGACCCACACACACACTCACACATATGTTGGCCATTCATAAATGCTAAGGGATATTTGTCAGAGACGGTCCAAACCAATTTCTAATTTTAATTTCGTAAGCCACAAAGTCACTGCCAAAGTTTAAAAAGCTTTCAAATAAATACACAAACCCGCACACAAATACAAACAAATACAAATATACAGTTACAGATAAATGTAGGTATGCATATAGCAATATGTGTGTATACAGCTGGCACACATGCCTGACAAAAGCAGTGAAATGCATAGTTTTTGGGGTTTTGTGGCCAAAACATATACACACTCATACATACACTAACCGACCATACACAAATGAAAACCACAAGGCTCTAACCACACATAGACATTCCGAGATACGAACAGACAAACGTACGGCAGCTGCTAAGCACAAAGTCAAAAGCATATTTTGATTACTTAAATGAAAGCAGCAGCAGCAACAACAATGTTGTTGTTGTTGCCTGCCGAAAAACCCCAAAACGACGTTGTCACCTTGTGCGTGTGTGTGTGTGTGTGTGTGTGTGCTTATGTGCTCCACCTGCCTCTCGGCTTACGTAGCTCACATTGTAGCCCAAAATGACCCCAAGCAAAACTACTTAAAAAGAGATCGTCAGTCATGTGCTGCAACAACAGCTACAACATCAACAAAAAAGGTTAAGAGGCTGCAGCAACTGAGCAGCAACAACAATACCAGTTGGCGTGCCTATGAATAAGGTGACATCAGCAACAACAATAACAGAAGGAGCAACAGCAACAGCAACAGCAACAGCAGCAGCAGCAGCAGCGCTAACGTCATGGCCAAACAATACAGTTACATTTTACTGATTACCTTTTGGCTGTGCCAGCGTGTGTGCGTGGGTGTGGCCAGATTTCTCTTGTTAACTACTAATCCTGGTAAAAGGCCTTGTTGCTGCCACTGCTCCCAGTCCCAATGAGGACGCAGACAACGCAGACGAGTGGAAAAGTCAACGCCGCTGTCGTTGCTTTTGCTCTAGTGGAAAATCTCTTAAAACGCATGAGTATGTGTTGTGTGCGCGTATGTGTGTGTGTGTGAGCTTAATCTTGTGTATAAAGCTCTTCTTGACTGTCATTGGTGTTGTTGCTGCTGCTTGGCCAACATATTTATACAATTTCTCATTTCATTCAATTTTCTTTTTTTGCTTCCTTTTTTTTTTGTGTGTGTGCCCTGCTGCCCATTGTCAACACAACTTGAAATATATGTCTGCCTGTCTGTGTTGTGCTTGTGTATGCGTGTGTTTTTGTTTTGGCTTGTTGTGCAACTGCTGTTTGGCCTCGCATTTTAACAAGTGTCTTCATTGGCTTTTGTATTGCGCCGACTTCGTCTCCACCTGGCGCTACCATTGCGCTGATTGCTCAACGTCTTCGCTGTCAGTCTCGAGTTTTACTTTCATCTTTTTTTTTTTGTGTTAAACGCAGCAACGTGCACAGTTGCAGATAAGATGCTCAGCGTAGTGCTGTTGTCATAGCTGGAATAAAAAAATAAGCTGAAGAAGCCAGCAGCAACAGCTGTCCTCCTGGCTGAAATATTAGTCAAGTGCTGTTCCCGACCCAACATTTTCAAGTTTATGTATTTGTTTTATTAGCTACTCGGCCAAATGCAGTTCGTGAATTCCAAATTGATCTTTTTATGCACAAAGAACAGACAATTTGTTTTAAATTTCGTCTGCATAAGGCACCTGTAGTGTAGGCAAAAGTTTCTCATCAGGGCAATTGGCCATGTGAATCCTCAAATAGATATGCTTTAAAAAATTCTTTTAAAGCCTTTGGGCCAGGCAAGCAATGTGCAAGCGGGAACTCAAATCCATTGCACGCCTTAAGGGATTTAACCCCACACGCACCTGAAAGCAAAGCTGCGACGACAACAGCAACAGCAACAGCAGCAGCAACATCAGCAGTAGCAAATCAGCAATACAGGATTTTCAAATCATCTGCTCACACACACACACACACACACACACATACATTTGCAGATTTCAACGCCTGAGTGATTGCGTCGCATAGAGAAACAGCAAAAAAATAAAAGAAATAGAAATAAAACAAAAGTAAGGGAAACGAGCGTACGAAAACCAAGTTGGCAGCATCAGAAATGAAAAACCCCGTAGCCCTGCGCGCCACTGACATTTATGTTGGCAATTTGGCAGTCAGGCAGCGTGGCTGTGCTATGCTGTGCCGTGTTGTGCTCGCATCGCAGAGCTGTGTAACAGGATTCTAATATGTCATGTCGGTTGGGACGTCCTTTCACCTATGCCGCTCGGCTCCCCTGTGTTGCCCTGCCCTGCTCTGCTGCTGATACTATTTCCACTCCCAGGCACTTCAGGCAACAGTTGTTGTGACTATTTTCGTTGCTATTTACGTTGATGTCTTCTTGCGCACGAGCATCTTAGAAGCACCTTACCCATGCCACGCACGTCACTCGCTTCAGCGACCAGGGCACTAAGAATGGGGCTAGGACTGGGTCAGGACACCCTTAGGATGCTAGGATACTCTTCCTGCGACTGCTGCTTGGAAATGAAGATAAATGCACTGGAAGTTCACGCGGTTACAACCACAACACAAGCTAGCCACAAATCCACAGAACACCAAAGCCCCCAAGCGGCCCCTTGTCTCGTAATGCCCACCGACTCAACCACGCCCATCGCCTCTTATATTGCTTAGTGGCTCGGCTCAAATTTGACATGTGATTGTTTTGTCTTTGTCTGTAGCTGCGCATCTGTCTCTGTCTATGTGTTTGTAATTTTGATAAATTAATTTTTTTAGCCGATCCCCAACAAGCGAAAAAGGGTTGACATCCACTTGGGACCGAGACCGGGTCCGGGACCGAGTTTGGAACTGAGCCGCAAACAAAACGAAATTGATTGAAATTTAATTTCAAAACAAAATCCCACGGACACGACGAGTGAGCGAATGTCTCTTGTGTAACATTTGCACTTGCGCCTAAAAGGCGGCAATGCATTCATTAAATTTAAAACAAATGGTGGCCGCACACAAAGACACACACACATAGATCTACACGGGCAACAAATTGAAAGCCTTAAAGCAATCTGCAAAAGGTGCACCAAAACGGTTGCCTTTAATTTTAGTAATCGTCATAATTGGCACTTGTGTGGTTGCAAACAACAACCCCAACAAACAGCAAACAGAAAACAGGGCACACAGGACGCAGGACATACGCGACAGTGACATTTCAATCGAAGAGCTTGCGGCATTGTTGTCGCCACTCGCAATCTGTGGCTCGCGCTATACGACGCACTGATTACAGGCAGTAACGCCTATCAGATATAACTGCAAATGTGTATGAGTGTTGTGTGTGTGCGTCGCTCCATGGTGGCCATTGCAGCAGGTGTTGGTTTTCCCTCTTGTGATAAGGTTACCTTGTGATTAAATTAAATTGCCGTCCACAGCACAGAAATAAAGCCCCGTTTGCTCAGTTGGTTTGGACATACCCTACGGTGAATGTCATATATTGGCCTTTTGCATCTAAGAAAGTGCTTGTTACTTGTGGGAATTTTAAAAGCTGAAGCTTTGTGTACTTTTATCTAAATACAACAAATAAAAAATATTGTTGTTTATAAAACAATTGTTTATATTAAGCGACTTATGTTTTGCAAATTGTACTCAATGTTATGTGATTTATCATTAAAAAAAAAAAAATAATCTATGGGTATAAAAGTTATTCAATAAATGTTAATTTATACAGTCTTCCAAACTAGGGGACTAGCGGATACCCTGAACCCTCTTCTGCCAATAACAAATCCACATATATATTCTATTTTAGAAGCTATATGTCAAGTTTGGGGACTCTAGCTCTTATTATTTACCAAAATTGCCCAAAAAACAGGATATCGATATCAGTTTTTATCGATTGCTTGGAAACGGAGTAAGTTATCGATTATCGGTAGATCGACTCGGCTATTGATGCTGATCAAGAATATATATACTTTATGGGGTCGGAGATGCTTCTTTCTGCCTGTTACATACATTTGGATTATGCACAAATACATTTTTAATGGGTTCAGGGTATAATCATCAAAAAAGTTTCTATTTTCGCACCGACCTCTATTTTGGAAAAAAGCGTGCCATTTTGTCGATTAAGGTAAACATTTTAGATTTCCTTTTTTTGATTCCAATCGATAGAACTGATCCTTACGAGTCAAAACTGGTATAATATTCCAAAATGGGACATTACGGAAATATTCCAAAAAATCATCAAAAAGGTTGACTTCACGAACTAATGGTTTTTTTGTCTTTAACATTATTGAACCCATCGATGTTTAATTAGTTTGAATGCCAATTGATGGTAGGGATCCGTACGCATTCAAAAGGTATAACATTTTAAAATCAGATTTTATTTACTCTTTCCGAGATATTGAAAAAAAATCATCGAAAAAGTTTCGATTTTTGCACCGACCTCGATTTTGAAAAAAATCGTGATGATTTATTTGGAAGGTCATATCTCCGCGCGGAGTTATGTCGTTTTGGAACGTCATATCTCCGCGTGGAGTTATGTCGTTTTGAACGTCATATCTCCGCGCAGAGCTATGTCGTTTTGGAAAGTCATATCTCCGCGCGGAGCTAACTCGTTTTAGAACGTCATATCTCCGCGCGGAGTTATGTCGTTTTGGAACGTCATATCTCCGCGCGGAGCTAACTCGTTTTGGAACGTCATATCTCCGCGCGGAGCTATGTCGTTTTGGAACGTCATATCTCCGCGCGGAGCTAACTCGTTTTGGAACGTCATATCTCCCCG